CTCAAGGTAAAATAATAAATTTCCTCTTGCAACCTCAGCTGCCCTGGGGTCTGGTGGGAGCAAGGCGGGCTGGGTGCGCAGGCTGTAAGAAGTCTTCCTGTCCCAGACGTCAAGCCCATGCCGGGGCCTTGCAGCCAGGGAATTTGAGGAGGGAGCCAGGCATGTGTACACTCACGGAGCCTCCGGGCCATGGGCACCAGGAGGCAAGCTGTGGTGACCCAAGTGGAATTGCACAAGAGAATAGCCGGCCACCAACAGGACAGAGCGGATTTATTTATGCCATTTGGAAACCGTTCTCGTCGTGTCCATTTATAGCCAGTGGATGGAGCTGAAGGCGGAGACGGAGTGGCTCACGGTCACCCTTCACAGGGTGGAAAAACAACGGGCACCCAGCAAGGAGGCCTGCTTCCCCACCAAGACTCCCTGCGTGGGTCAAGCTGCCCCGTGTTTTGGACCCGCACTGCCGGCAAAGTTTTAGAAAACAGAAGAGCCGTCATTTTTCCGTTCTGAATATCATTTGGTGTCGGGCATTTTCAGGCAGAAGAATAAGATTATTTATGAAAGTATAATAAGGGCTGATGTTTACTGTTTTCCATGATCATCTCATTCGGTTTTTTCAAACACCCTTTGAAGTAGAACACACCTAACCCCGTTTTTACAGGGTAGTAACTGAGACAGAGCTTGATACGCCAATTCCCGCTGCAAGGACAGGGCAGTGCTGGCGTTGGCAGTCAGGCACCCCAACCCGAGCGTCTGTGAACCACCGGCTAGGCTGCCAGCTCCGATCATGTGGGGCACCTGAGGCAGAGGGGAGGAGGAACTTCCAGTGGTCCCCATCCGTGATGCAACTAGGATTTATACCCGGATTGCCTGACTCCCAAGTCCTGTTGACTTCCCGAGATCAGACGTCCAAGGCAAAGGCCGAGGGAAGCAGATGTCTCAGGTATCCAGTTTCCAGGTGGCAAGACCAGATGAAGGACTTACCCTGAAACGACTCCTGTTTTGTGCAAAAATCTGGATGTTCCTATGGTGGAAAATTTAGATATTCACTGAAAAAATCCTGTGATCACCAAGTACTATGTGAAGTCCCCTCAGTACAGTGACAAACAAGGCCACCCTGGTCCTAAGACAGTTTCAGCCCTGAGAGGAAAGATTGGCCAGGGAGCTGGCAGGGATAAGGCCATGGGAAAGTGCCCAGTTCTCAGCAAGGACATCAGAAGAACCCCACGCCCGGTTCTCGGGATCAGGGAGGGCTTCCTAGAGGAGGCGACTCCAGCGCCAGATGAAAGATGGGGGGCAACAGGTTGGTCCACCCAGGGGAGACGGTGCGTGACACCTGGGCGTGGCAGAGAGCGGCACCCCCTGGAGTCCTCAGCCCCGTGCAGGGTTCAGAGCCCATTTAGCAAACACCGTCCAGTGGGTGAATGAAGGAACCTATGCCAATTCTCCTAAGCTGTCCAGTCCCGACCCATAATGAGTACCTGGCACCCCATTTACACCAGGATCCCCTGAGAGCTTTCCAAATATGCAGATTCTGGGACCCAGGTTGAGAATTGTGATTCCGTAGCTTCTGGGTGAATCGAGGGGGTCGATTCACTGTAACTTCCTCCAGAGACTCTGGCACGAAGCCCGATGACCCGTGACACCCTCCGGGCCTCCTTCCTGCCATCGACTGTCCTCCAGCCCACCTCTGCCTTCTGCTGTCATAGCCAGATTCTGATGCGAGAAGCTGCTGAGGCGGCAGCCACGGAGCGTCTTTAAGAGAAAGCACGACTAAATCATCTCTGTCAAAGGAGGCTCACCACACCAGTGAAGCGCCCCGTCAGCCCCAAGGTGAGATGCAGAGGGAGAGCAGCTGGCAGAGACTGGCCCCGCGTAGCTGCCTTCAGCAAGAGGCGGTCCCGTGAAGCAGCACCCTGAAGCAGCACCCTGAAGCAGGAGCCTTGCAGAAACTCCCCCAGTCAGCTTGGCCCGCAGGAGCGAGGGTCGCCACGCTCAGAGAAGCACAATTCCTCAGAGCAGACCTGGAATTCGAAAGCACCCAAGCAGACACTCAGATGCTGTTCTTGGGAAAGATTCACATTTATATGCACATAGTGGGTTTCTGTTTTCTTTATATACCATTGCCTCCAAATGCCCCCTCGATTGTTTTCTGTAAAAGCTTCAAGATTTTAAGACATTCTTTTGCTTATTGCTGTTAATAAAATGGTTTTTGTCATGGAAATGTTTTTTTTTTCTATTTTTTTAGTTGTAAATGGAAACAATTTCTTTGTTTTATTTATTTATTTATGTTAGTGCTTCATGCATTCGAGGCAAGCGCTCATCCACTGAGCTACAACTCCAGCCCCAGAAATGTTTTTTTAATAATTGTTTTTGTGTTTCTTTAAATGCTTCTGTGGTTCTCCCTAAATTATGAGAATAACAACATTTAACATTTATTGAGGGCTTGCTCTGTGCTGTGCACTCTCCTACTTGATTGTGTATGTATACATTGCCTCATTAAATTCTCTCCACAACTGCTTATTGTGTACATTATTATTAGCTATGGACCCGTAGGTTGCTCAATAGCAGGAAGTTGGTTAATAAGAGGTGGAGCTGGAATCTGGCTCCAGGTGGTCTTCATTTCTATTTGGATCAGTATTTCCCAAAGTACAGATATTTGGGGAAGTTAATATCATGGAATATTAGTAGATGATTTTCAAAGGTTGGGAATATCAGTTAAACACCTGGGTTTCTTTAGTGTAAGGTTTCTTGGAGTCTCTAAATGCAAATGCACTTTACAAATGTCTAAGATGCAAAAAAGCAGAATATAACATTTCCTAGATCTCTTTTCAGCTGAGCCTCTATTTATTTGTGGTGCTAGCAACTGAGCCAGGGCCTCAAGCATGCTGAGAATGTATTCTAAACCATGAGCTACAGCCCCAGCCCCTGTGGGGTCTCTCAAGACCATCGGTCTGTGAGCCAAGTCTGTGAAATGATGGTGGACACCACGGTCCACAGACTCAGGTGCCTTCCTGCCCCCCGAGGTATTAGAATATCCACTTACAACTGCTTACATTCTTTTTCAATTTTGCAAGTTTTGAGATTATGTAAATGCAGCTGTCCCCGGGTATCTACAGGGACTGGGTCCAGGGTCCTCTGCAAATACCAGGGTCTGCAGATCTCGACTCCCTCTCATGAGACAGCACAGCACTTGCACATGACCTGTGCCCTTCTTCCCTTTGGCCTCAGACAGCATCGGTGCTGTGTAAATAGTTGTTATGCTGTATTGCTCAGGGAACATGACAAGGTAAATAAGTCTACATGTACGATTTTTTTTCCCAAAATAAATTTTTATTGTGTTTGGTTGGCTCGGTGGATGCAGACCCCTCTAGTGTGGAGGGCTGCCCATACATAATATTGGAACAGTAATGTGTGTATGATGTACACAGTGATTTCCACATCCTGGGGATGGGTGCAGTAACATGAAGGGTGTCTTACCATACATGTGCGAAGCGTTCACTTTCTTCTTATTCTTTGACCCAGCAATTTCACCTTTTGGCATTTATCTAGTTTAGCCTAAGGAAATAAATCGGCATGTTTTAAAAGTATTGGCTACAAGGATATTTATTGGAGAACCAGGCTTGTGACTAATGAAAACAGTCTAAATATTAAACAGTTAAGGACTGGTCGCATAAACTACGCAGTTACAAACAAGAGCTCTTAAAACCCCTTAAACAGGGAGATCTTAAAAACCAGTAGTAGAAAATATAATGGCGTAGGAAGCCGATTCCTGATTTGGTCAGTCAAAGTCAGACAGGGCTGGGGTGAGCTCTGTGGAGGAGCACTTGCCAAGCAAACAGGAGGCCCCGGGTTCTGTTCCCAGCCCTGCAGAAGAAAGCAAAACAAAGACACATAGAGGATCACAGAGTTGGCTGGCCTAAAACACACAGCTGGAATCATCAACTGAAATGTCAACAGTAGGCTCAGCAGTGAGATGGGGGAACTTTCATTTTCTCCATATCTACCCTTATCCTAACTTCTGTGTAATAAATGCATATTTCTGAATAAGTATTATATTTACAATAAAGTGTGAAGTTTCAAAATAAAGGGCTGGGGATGTGGCTTGGTGGTAGAGTGCTTGCCTGGCATGCACGAGGCCCTGGGTCCACTCCTCAGCACCACAAACAAACAAACAAAAAAGATTTTGTTTTTTTGCATACCTCTTCTAGATGTGTTATGTTGGTGTCTTTTCTGTGTTTGCATATGTTTTTTTTTATTTTTATTTTTTTAGTTGTAGGTGACAAATACCTTTATTGTATTTATATTGGTGCTGAGGATGGAACCCAGGGCCTCACACATGTGAGACAAGCGCTCTACAGCTGAGCCCCAGGCCCAGCCCCTCACATTCTCCTTTTTACCCATTGACACATAAATACTATGTAACACACGAGCCTTTGTGCTGTGCTACATTGTGTCAACTTCTACACCTGCCACTTCCTGTGGCTGGGAGCCTCCTGAAGCCTCCTGTGTTTCTGGAGGTAGAATTCCAGGGTCAAAGCAAATGTGCCCTGGTAATGTTGATAAACTTTGCCTCCTGAGGTTACCAAAAAAAAAAAAAAAAATGTTCTCATGGTTTCTTGGAGTATTTTAATTGTCTGAGATTTTCTTTACATTTCACTTTCAATCCATTTTAATGTATCCAGGCTTCATGAATGCTGCATAAGAAAAACAAATAATTTAAGACATCAAACTCCTCGCCGGCCGTGGAAATTCTAGCGCTGGTTAGCCGCATCTGTTGGATCACAGGATCCTGGTGCAATAAGGACACCCCGCGAGGGTTCAGCTTACACGGGGTGGAGAGCTGCTGACTCTCCCAGGCTGCCCAGCTTCCAGGGTCAGGCAGAAGCAAAGCCCCAGCCCCAAGAACCCCATTCACCTCCTGGTGAATTTTCTACTCCAGGAGAATTGAGGTTGGTGGTTGGGTTTCCCTTCGGACAGCTTGTAGGTTGTTTTCGGCACTTAAATACAGAGGAGTGGGCTCCCTGGAGGTCCAGGGTGTGCGGCTGAAGCTGCACTGAACCCCTGTGGCCATCTGAGGGCTCCTAGGGAGAAGAGCTTATTCCTGCAGAGACCCGTGGACCAGTTGCTCAGTGGCGGGCTTAAGCAGCTGTGCTGAAATGTCAGACGGATTTGCACAGCTGACCGAGTTGCCCAAGAGACAGCAGCGTAGTAACCCCATCAACTGACCCCGGGCAGCCCAGCCCTGCTTAATATAGATCTGCCGGGGGCCGAGCTGCAGTCACGCCGCTCGGCAAACCCACTGAGGCTCCTGGGGAGAGATCTCAAGGTGGGTTGACCTGCTCACCTGTTCACCAGCAGAGCTGCTTGGAGTGCCTCTGTGTTCCTCTTCTTTTTGAAATCAGCTTTGATCGTTTCTTCTCTTCTAGTGAAATTAGAAACAAACAGGAAAAAAAAAAAAAAAAAACAGACCATGTCGGGCCACGGCAGGAATTCAGATCAAGAGGAGCTGGGTGAGCTGGACGAGGATGAGCTCTTGGCCAACCTGTCCCCCGAGGAGCTGAGGGAGCTGCAGTCGGAAATGGAAGTCATGGCCCCGGACCCCCGCCTTCCCGTGGGAATGATCCAGAAGGACCAAACCGAGAAGCCACCGACGGGGACCTTCGACCACAGGTCCCTGGTGGACTACATGTACTTGCAGAAGGCCTCCAGGCGCATGCTGGAAGATGAGCGCGTCCCCGTCACCTTTGTGCGGTCCGAGGTAACCAGCACCTGTCCCGACAGGTGGCCCCTGGCCTGCTGTCGGCTGTCTGTGTGTCCCCTGGGATTGCTCGGGGCGCCAGCGTGGGGTCCTGCAGTTTTGCCACATCCTAGTGTGTGCTGTCAGGTTCGACCCCACTGCAGACTGGAACTTTCTGAAACCCCTGGCGCAGCTGCAAGGGGAGAACGGGTCATTTCTCATCGACCCCCCTCTGTTTTGCTTGCTGGAAGGCTGGTGGATGTGGCCCCCATGCTCAGGGGCCCCAACTCGTGACCAGGAGCAGGTGTTCTGAGCACCTACTTTATTGAATTTATTTGTTTGGCTGGCAGGCCCCCTTGAGGGGCTCATGGGAGCTCTGGGTCCTCTCTCTGGCACGTCCTCACCCATGCAATACTCCACACACAATGTCAAAGACCTCACGGTACCCCAGAGGTCTAGCCCATACCCTGCAAGTGACCGAGTGAAACAACCAAAAACGTGTAACATTCCCACCATGCACTGGGTATCCGTGACGACACTTAGAAACGGGTGGTAGTAAGCTGTTTCTAGTTTTTTCTCAAAATTTTTTAGGTTGAAAAAATGGAACTGTGACTGATTCTAAAATTTACTTTGCATTAGCATAATTTTTTTTTTTTTAAAAAAAGTTCCACTTAAAAATAATTTGGCAGAAACAAGACAGTGGACATCCAGGTGGAGTCTCTTTCAGGTGTGCTGGCTGACAGAGCTGTGCGTTGTCACATTACTGTCCCACTGGCTGGCGTTCAGGGAGGTGGACAACGGGTTTCACATTCAGGAGAACCTGGACACGCACTCAGCTTTGGAAAATGCACGGCTGGCTGGATGAGGTTAGAGCTGAAGATAAAATTCATAGACCTTTTACGTTGGAGGTGATTCTATGTGAACACCAGGGTTAGAGGGAACAAAAGGAGGACTTTCAAACTCGGTTGTTTCTGCTGATGTACTTTAAACGGCTTGGTAGTGGCTCCCCCTGCTGGGACAGGTGAGAAGTGCAGGGGAAGGGGCCTTAGGTAGTGAAGGGCAGGGGTCAATGGTCCATCCCCACCAGCCACATGTCATGAGACGGAGTTTGTGCTCAAAGAAGCCTGCATCTCTGATTGCTGCACTCACTGTCAAAATGACACCCATGAGGTACACATCTTGTACAGAAAAGCACAATAATGCATAAGTCTCTAAAAACACTGACAAGGGACAGCTACTTTCCTTCCCAAACCTGCAATTTCTAGCTCTCTGCACAACGCTCTTCCTTCTAGGCACTGTTCCTCAAAAGAAACAAGAGCTGTGAGCCGGTTTCTGGAAGAGCCAGGGCAGTTTTCACAGAGCTGAGCAGATGAAATCCAAATCAAGGTTTCAAAAAAAAAAAAAAATACGTATTCCAAATTGCCAAACTGTTCTCATTGACCCCACATTATGTTATAGTCTCAGGGAAATGGGATCTACACGTTGTATAACATTTGCAGACATTTTAGGCATGTAAATTTTAGAGCAATAAGGAAACCACTGTGTAACCCAGGGTCGTGGAATACAAAGCCCCTATTCAGCTACGTGTCAAACAAAGACTTCAATGTGTGGATAAAAGCGGTATAAAGTTTGCAAAACAAATAACCTTTACTGCTTCTGGAAGTGAACATTACTTTAAGAATAAAAACAGGCTGGGGTTGTAGTTTCGTGGTAGAACACTTGCCCAGCATGCACAGGGTCCTGGGTTTGACCCCCGCCCCCTAGCACATTCAGATAAAAACCATAAAAAATCAATTTTTAAAAATCTGACAATAAAGTGAGCTAGGTTTTATTTTTATTTTAATTCCAATGGGCCCTCACTATCCTTGGGGGTTCACCTTCCTGGACTCAACCAAGCATGGATCAAAAAAAATTTTTTTTTTTAAATTGAAGCCAAAAGTGGTGGCACAGGTACACTTGCTACTTGAGAGGCTGAGGCAGGAGGATCACAAGTTGAAGTCCAGCCTGGATAACTTAATGTGATCCTGCCTCAAAGTAAACACCACATCCTCCAGTGGTAAAGCACCTACCTAGCATGTGCCGGGCCCTGTGCTCCATCCTCAGCACCACAGCAAGGAAATTTTTGCAAGTGGACTGAACCGGGACAGGTTCCTTGGGGTTATTGTCCCCTAAACAGCATAGTATAACGACAACGGATACAGCGTTTGTGTAGTGTCAGTTGTTATAAGTAACCTGGGGAGGACGTGAAGAGCCTGTCCTTGGGAAGATCTGCCTAGGGTAGGTGCAAGCACTAGACCACTGTGTAAAGGATCGTGCACCCTACCTCCTGGAACCCTGGTGTTGGTCACCAAAGGATACCCAGGGACCCCTGAGTAGGAGATGAGACAGACACAGCTGAAATCGTCAGTGAAGATGGGTCCTTGTTTCGGTTGCTAAGAATATGTGAGGTTTCTTTATGTAGAAAACTCAAACACTCTAGAATTATACAAGGTAAAAGTGAAGGGCCCCCAGATGCTTCCCCTCCTTGGAGTTTTTTTACTCGATCACCTCCCTTCCTTAGGAGCCCGCCGACTGTTGCTTTACCTACAGTCACAAGCCTCTGTGCACAGGCCAGAGAACCCCGTGCGTAGGAGCGCTCTGTGGTCCTGCGGGTTTCACCTGGTGGTTTCTGACGGAGCCATCTCTCTCCCCTGCCTTTCCCGGTTGCTATGGGCTCTAACCCACGTGAACTCTCTCTTAGGAAAACACGCCAGGACGGCAGGAGGCCAGAGACCCAGGGAATAAAAACGTGCTCCGGTTCCTGAAAGAAAAGCTCAATGACGAAATCGCGGCCCATAAAAGAGAATCCGACGGCAGTGACGGCGTGCAGGAAGCGGATGAGGAGGATGGGGAAGAGGAGGAGGAGGAGGAGGAGGAAGAGGAAGAAGAGGAAGAGGAAGAGGAAGAAGAGGAAGAAGAGGAAGAGGAGGAGGAGGACGACGGTGAGCAGGGAGAAGCACAGAATCCAGTCGGAAACGGCGAGAGCAGCAACCCCCGGACGGCCACCAGAGCTCCGGAGGAACACGGAAACCAACCCGCAGCCCAGGAAAAAAGTGAGAAGAAAGTCTCCAAACTGGATCCCAAGAAGCTGGCTCTGGACACGAGCTTCCTGAAGGTCAGCGCGAGGCCCTCCGGGAACCAGACGGACCTGGACGGCAGCCTGAGGCGCGTGAGGCAGAACGACCCCGACATGAAGGAGCTGAACCTCAACAACATCGAGAACATCCCCAGGGAGATGCTGCTGGACTTCGTCAACGCCATGAAGAAGAACAAGCACGTGAGGACGCTCAGCCTGGCCAACGTGGGCGCCGACGAGAGCGTGGCCTTCGCCCTGGCCAACATGCTGCGGGAGAACAGGAGCATCCGCACGCTCAACGTCGAGTCCAACTTCATCACGGGGAAGGGCATCGTGGCCATCATGCGGTGCCTGCAGTTCAACGAGACCCTCACGGAGCTGCGCTTCCACAACCAGAGGCACATGCTGGGCCACCACGCCGAGATGGAGATCTCCCGGCTGCTGAAGGCCAACCACACCCTGCTCAAGGTGGGCTACCACTTTGAGCTCCCGGGTCCCCGGATGGTGGTCACGAATCTGCTCACCAGGAACCAGGACAGACAGAGGCAGAAAAGGCAAGAAGAACAGAAGCAGCAGCAGCTCAAGGAGCAGAGGAAGCTCATAGCCATGCTGGAGAACGGCCTGGGGCTGCCCCCGGGGATGTGGGAGAGGCTGGGGGGGCCCATGCCCGACCCCAGGATGCAGGAGTTCCTCCAGCCGCCTCCCGGGCCTCCCGGCCCCCACGGCCCCCACGGCCCCCACGCGGTCCCCTTCGGCCGCAGAAACGAGATGGCGAAAAAGCCATCCCAGCCTCCGCCGTACAAGACCGACCCCGACTCCTTCCGGGTGGTGAAGCTCAAGAGGATCCAACGCAAATCCCGCATGCCCGACGCCAAGGAGCCGCCGGAGAAAACCAACCTCAAAGACGTGATCAAGACGCTCAAACCCGTGCCCCGAAACCGGCCACCCCCCCTGGTGGAGATCACGCCCAGAGACCAGCTCCTGAATGACATCCGTCACAGCAACGTCGCCTACCTTAAACCCGTAAGTACAAGGGGGGCAGTGAGCCAGCATCGCGTGACCCGCGCCCCAGCTCCCGTCTGTCCCCTGCGCCCCAGCTCCCGGCCCCGGCATCTCCACCCTCGCAGACACCAGTCCCGACTTCCTGGGGAGCACAGGGAGCTGCCCCGTGGGTCTGGAGCACCAGCCCTCCCTCAGGACTACACCTGGGTGAGTTGTGGGACATGAATCCCAGCAGCTCTGTCTACAGAGCCCTTCCCAAGAGCCCGAGCTGAGTCACAGAGTCGTCTTCCTTGTGCAATGTAGGTGCCGTGGTCCTCCCCACTTCATAAAGAGGACACGGGGGCTCAGAGATGCTCAGCGCCCGTCTAGGGGGTTCGGCTGGGAAGTGGCAGAGCCGACCTTGAAATCACTCCCCTTCTGAGTTCAGGGTCAGGCTTTGATTCACCCTGCTATTGTGAAGCCCCCAAGTACAAACACAGAGCTCACAGACATCCCCGAGGACCTGCTGGGAGGCACAAAGAGGACACGAGGCCAGGCTTGAGGGTAGCAGGGGAAAAGGCCCCAGGAGTCGATGCTTTTTACAGATGAGGAGACGCCACTTCAGGGCAGAGACCGTGGACTTCGGCTGCCGTCCGTGAATCCCTGCAGGTTCAGGAGATCTTACCAGCTTTTCAGTCTGCTGATTCAGTCTCCCACTAGGAGAAGAAGCTGTATTGCTTGCCGCTGAGGTTGCACAAACGAGAGTTCTTTTGTCATGATGCTGGTATTTACACAGGCTCGAGAACATTCCTCAGACGGACACGGGGCTGTATTATTTCAAAATCTTGCATGTGATTTAGCCAAGAGGTCAGATGTATGATTTCACCCTAGAGGGTCACAGTTTTGTTTTTAAGATATGTGGAATACATATCTTATATTTTTTATACATTCTTCTATTTTTAGGTCATCTTATATTTTTAGACAATCTTGTATTTTTTCTGCTTTAAAGAGCTCTTCTAACATAAGACAGTGGTTACTTCCCTAGCCCTGCATTCAAAAAAGACAATTGCGGCTCATTCATAAGCACACGTGCGTGCATTTCTTACTTTCATCTCTTAGAAGCACAGTGACCAGTCCTTTGTTTTCTAAATCCGACGTGAATTCCCTCTGAGTCTTGGAGGGCACCTGAGTCCTCCTGGGGCAGGCACCGGGGAGAAGAGAGGGGGCATGGAGTCAGGAGGACTCTTTGCTTGACTTCACCTTCCACCCTTCGCTCATTGACATCCCTTACTTGGCTCCTGTGGAAGTTCCTATTTTGCTCCTGCTACTCAGGCCTTGCCGATGGCCCGCGAGCCCACAGCTCTGGGTTGCTGTGGCCCCGGCACAAAGCCGAGGCGTCGTAAGGCTGGCCTGGGCTCCTCCCTGGCGAAAGTGCAATCCCCTCCTCTTCACCCGGCTTTGCTTCAGCCCCTGCGCCCCGCCCCAGGAGTGTTGGCACCTTTCACTGAGATTCAGAGCCCGTTGCAGGAACTGCCTGGTCCTGAGGCCAACTCGCATTGCCAGGAGCCCCCGGGTTCCCGGGCTGCAAGGACATTCACTCCATTGCCTTTGGCCTCCTGTATCTAGTTCACCTCTGAACTGCTCCCAGGCAATTGGCTTAAGGACCTTGCAAAATGACTGCAGTGTGTTGACGTCACCTGCAGCCTCCCTCACCCTAAGGCTCCAGGGTGGACGGGCACCTGCTGTGATTGTTGACTTCAGATTCCAGGCTTGTGTAAGTCATCCCAGCGGCTGGGGAGGCTGAGGCAGGAGGATCGTGAGCTCAAACCCAGCCTCAGCAAAAGCAAGGCGCTGAGCAACTCAGGGAGACCCTGTCTCTAAATAAAATACAAAATAGGGCTGGTGAGGTGGCCCCTGAGTTCAATCCCTGGTACCCGCCTCCCCCAGCCAAAAAAAAAAAAGGTTTCTAGAGTTGAACCTTCATCTTTGCCTCTGGGCCTCCTTGTTCGCCTCACTTGTAAGATCTTCTTTCTCTCCTGGCAGGTTCTGAGGTCCTATCCTTTTGCCGGTTTGTTCCCCATCTTCTCCTTTTGTGTCAGGACCACGTCATCCGGGATGGTCCCCAATGTCCTTTTCCCTGCAGGCAGGTCCCCAAGGTTCCCTTAGCATTCTTGCTCAAAGCTTCCCCAAACAGAGCTTTCCTGTTTGGGCCTGGTTGTTGTATCTGGTTCCCAAATTTCCTCCGTGTCATGCTTTGAGCCTGCAATGTGTCCCCAAAGGCTCAAGGTTTGACAGTAGGGTCCCCAACGCAGCCAGTTTCTGAAGTGGCCCAGATCCTGAGGGCTGTCACCTCACCAGCAGATCCAGCCCTTGTGGACTTCTGGGGACTGTCCCCTGTCCCTGGCCGCCTCCCTCTGCTCTCTGGCTGCCCTGAGCTGAGCAGCTCTCTTGACCACACCCTTATTCTGCCTCACTTGAGCCCAGAGCAAAGGAGCCAACTGTCCGTGGACTGAAACCCCTGAGACTGTGAGCCAAAATGAATCTTCCTCTAAGCTGTTCTGCCAGGTGTCTGGTCGCAGTGACCAGCATGTTTGGTGTGTGCATTTTCTCTTGCATTCGGATCTAAAACCTTGGGGTTACCTCCAAAGTCCTTTTTCCTGCCCCCACAACAGAAATCAGGAGAACCTACGAGAGCCAAAGCCGAATGTGAACCATGACTGTGAAAATGGTATGATCCTTAAAAAGGGAGATTGCAGGGAAAAAAAGTGGGGGTGTGTGTGTGTGACATTTCAAGGTCACCTCAAAAGAACATCTATAATCCAGGAACCATTTAGACCAGACGTCACCTTCCCGTAATAGCTAGCGGGAAAGGTCTTTGATATAAAATCTTCTAAAGTCTATGTGGAGACGCTCAAGATTTAATATGTCACTGGGCCCACCCCAGAGACCTGGATCCAATAGACCAGTCTTCGCCGGTTCTCTGGTGACGCTGGTGCAGCCGTTTCCTGGACCCCATTTTGACAACCGTGACCTCACGACAATGTTGTATAGTTAAGTACCTGACCTCTTGGGTGCTCAGTGCTCTTAATGATGGGCGTTTTCCACGGGTGAGCCCCGCCAGGTACAGCCAGTCCCCCCCTTCCCAAGGGCACAGGGCGGTAGTACCCAGGGGACCCTTGGCTTGAGGCTGGGCAGATGGCAGCCCATGCACCTTCCTAGCAGGTGGGCAGGGTGCTGGGTAACTCTCCTAGGCCAGGTCGTGGGCAGGACCTGGCTGCGGGAGGAGCCTGGGTGGAGATGGACCGTCCAGGGAGAAACAGCCTTGGTCATTGCACAAACAGAGCGTCCCCTTAACTTCTCTCAGCATCTTCTGGAAGGTATGTACACGAGTCACCCTCCTGAGACCTCCCGTTGGTCTGTCTCTTTCCGACGATCATCATCATCACCAGGGACTGGAGTGGAGAAGGGTGAGGTTTTTTAATCGCCCGTCTTTATGGGTGCAGTTTGACTACACATAACGGTGGGATTCGCTGTGACGTATTTGTACACGCGTGTGAGAGACAGTATGTGGTCAGCAGCATTCCCCAGTGATTCCCCGTTCCCTCCCCGAAGCCCTTTCCTCTGCTGCACTGATCTTCTCCAGGAAGCAGGAGTGGGAAGCAGGTTGGCGGTCGGACATACATTGCTCTTTGTGAATTTTTGTAATATCTTAGAATTTTACTGAGCGACAAATGAGTGCCTTTCCAAGAGGACCAATAATCTACCTTGTGGCGGCATGTTTACAGACAGAGTTGGTCCAAATCCTGCTCTTGCACTTCCTAGCTGTGTGTCCTTGGGGAAGTGACTTTCTTCTCTGAACCATTTCCTCTGTGCAAGGCTATCGTAGGATGTAGTGAGATGTTTTTAAAAGTCAGCGTTACTATGGAGGACTCTCTTGTATTCTGTAACTTACTCTTTAACCTCGTGAGTGGATAGTTATTGTCGCTTTACCACTCAGGAAATTGAGGGCTGGGGCTGTAGCTCAGCGGCAGAGCGGTTGCCTAGCGTGCATGAAGCGCTGGGTTAGATCCTCAGCACCACATATAAGTAAATCAATAAAATGAAGGTATTATGTCAACTACAACTAAAACATATTTATAAATAAATAAATAAATATTAAAAACAACAACTACTAGGGACATCGAAACTCGGCACCACCAGTACCGTAAATGTGGGTGACAGATTTGAACTGAGGCCCGGGCCAGCCCTGGTCCCCTTGTTTCCTGTGATGACATTTTCCACGTGCCCAAAGACCCGGACACCCTCCCAGTTGTTAGAAAGAGCCCAATGCACGGTGGCAGAGGCCGCTGCTGTTTTACCGTGATTTGGTTTATTTCCTTGTTATTTTTTGGTGGCGCTGGGGACTGAACCCAGGGCCTTGTGCATGCCAGGCGGGCACTCTACCCACTGAGCATGTCCCCAGCCCCTCTATCATGACTTTGGAGGGCTCTGGGGCCAGGATCTCTTATCCATTCTGTCTCCATGGAGGCCTGGGTCTGTGGCTTTTGCTGTGAACTTCTTGAATCTCCAGGATTCACTCTTTGCCCCTTTCCTTCCAATGCTTCCATCACAGGTGCAGCTGCCGAAAGAACTGGCGTAAGTGGCAACAGAACCATCTAGAAGAACAAGAGATGGAAGCAGCGGCTGTGGGGTTGGAGCTGGGGGCTGCTTCAGCGGCACAGCTGGGAGCGTGTCCCCGAACACCTGGGGCCTGCGTGAGACACGCGAAGCTCCGGCCACGCAGGACACAGGCAGAAGAGGAGGGTGGACGGAGAGAGAATCTGATACTCACGGGCCACGCTCTCCACTGCCAATCAGCCCTGGTGACTGTGGCGGGATTTGAGTCTTGCTTCCAAAAGCAGCAGTTTGAAACGTTTTTGTAAACCTTCGCTTTCTTGTGGTCGATGACAATAAACGTGACGGGGGTGTGGTCTTGGGGCTCACGCTGTTCTTCCCGCCAGCCTTCCTGTATGTGGGCAGCGGGGGACAACCTGCAGCTCTGTAGAGAAAGAAATGGGGAGATGAATAACAGAGGTGAGGGCGACTGTAGGTATATGCACACATCCGGTGTCTTAACTTCCGTCTCTGAGTCTGACTTGATC